CCGGGCACGTCGTGAGGGTGGCGGAGGGGGTTGTTCCCCCTCTGCTCGGGCTTCCTGAAGTTGCTCCAGGCACAACTTTGCTCACGCGCTTGTATTTTGTTCACGTGGATTTTTCAAGGCGCTTCCCATAATGTCTGCAGCAGAATGCCCTTAAATAATCCTGAAAACAAGCAAGCAAGCAAGCAAGCAAGCAAACAAAAACGGTCTTTTTCTGTGTTAGCAACTGGTTAGAAGGTAGGAAACAAGGCCTAAATGTTCAGCTACAGTAGAGAGCAGGAATCAACCTTTATTTCAGTCTTCAGCATATTCATAAAGCAGCTTCCAAGCGAGACCATTAGATGTCTAAATCATCTGATTAAGACGATGCTAAATTATTCAGTATTGTAAAATGCAAAGCTGACCATTGACTAATGCAAAAGAAAGCCTTACAAATCTCCCAAGTGACTGTCAAGTGAATGACAGCCTCTGCAAGTGAAATATAATGCATGTGAGGAAAACCCACAGGAAAGGGTTAGCTATCACTTAGCACTCACAACGAAATCCAGCATTACCTGACTTGTTCTCTGTATGTATCTACTCAGTGCTTCATGCTGCCCAGAAACGCAAAGGCAATGTTAGGAATAACTGGTATTAAAGTTTTTTAGCCACGATGATATAAGTGTATTGAGAGGTAAGATCCAAGGAGAACAATAATATTTTCTATTAAGTCAGCTGATTTAGTTGGAAAAATTTGACAAGTGTTCAGGCATAATAGCCCTTCTTCAGAAATAATTAGGAAAGGAATTGAGAATACAGCAGAGAACACATGAAGGTGGTTGGTCTACTGCATGGTACATGTGCTTTTTTCTCTAGAAGCTGTTTCACTTGCAGGGTAATACTATTTTACATAGCCCTGACTCTGCTTGTAGAGGTCTGCCCTGTGTAGTGAAACAGCCCTTATTTCCAGATAAGAGGAGAACATGGTTTGCTTTTCAGTTTCCAGAAGATCTGATTAAATAAATATCTTTCATCTCCTTCAAGCAAAATTGAAAGAAATGTAAAGCTACAAAGTCAAACCTTTCAGTGCATTCTCACTTTCGTATGTTTCCTTCAATATGGCAATTGGAGTAAGACTTAATGAACAAATTGCACAACTACAGTATGAGGACAAAACCTCGGAGAACTACATTCTTGGCCACGGGGATTTGTGATAATGTTGCAGCAAGATAATGCTAGTTGTATGGTCCTTTTCCAGGAGGCCCACCTTGAGACTGTCTTCCAGTCTGTTTTCCAGATGTACTGAGTTGTGAATATATTAAAGATACCTTAAGGGAAGCAGATGAGGTAAAAACAATATTTTCTCCAGAAACAATGTTTGTTAGATCTTGTTTCATCATGTTCATCTTTGTTCTTTAATTAGTTTCATAATGAAACAAAAATTGTGCAATCAACCTTTCTATCTGTTGATGTTTTATTTTTCTTGCATACATCAATCACACATGGCAGAGACACAGAGCTCAAGGATGCATGTTCACTGTCACATTCTTGGACTTCTAATTTTACATTTGAGTCCTAATCCACTGATTATATGTTCTGTGTGTGGGTTGGTGCACATTCATACCACTCTGAAGCCTGCCAGATGGCTCCTGGGCTGGGCTACACAGAGTTCTCCAGAAATTCTGGTACCATTCAACTCCTGCCTCTACATGCCACATTAGCACAACTGGCTCACCTCTGAATTTATCTTGCTTGTCCACCATCCTAGAAGGCTATTGCTGATGCGTTGTGCCTCACATTCGTCATGTTTGATGTCTTTAAAAAGACATCTGGCAGGCTGGAAAACAACCCTCTTATTTTTCTGTTCTCCCATGGTAGAGAGCTTTCACTTGGGAGCTGCTTGGCCTGAGGAAATCCTGGAGATGGTTAAATGTACACAAGAGCATGAAAACTTCTCATCAGCAGCATGAAGCCAAGATTAGTCAGATGACCGAGGCACGGTTCACTGACTGGGGGGGGACAGATCCACATCAGGTTTGGAGCTGAAGCTCCAGAAGTGAAGCAGCCAAAGGCCCCGAGGAAGGGCTCTTTCCCAGGCACTCCAGCTCTACCCCTGCCATAGAACTGTACCCATTCCACACATGCAGATCCCTGCAGCCTGGCATCCTCCCAGGTGCCAGGAGGGCAGGCTGGGGCAGCAGAGAGCTCCAGAGCAGAAGGGAGCTCACGCAGTGTGATGAGCTTCTGTTTGGGGGAGGCAGGAAGCACAAAGATGCAGGTAAAAAGGCTCTGCTTACATGTGGGCTGTCTCACCCAAAAGTAGGTTTTAGAGGTGTGATGGTGTGCTCATCTGTGGGCTCATCACTGTAAAGGCAATATTCAGTCTTTCAGAACATGAGAGAACTTGGGAGTGGTTACAAGTTTCAGAGTGCCACATTTGTTATTGACCCCCTTTCAAGTACATCCTAGCCCAAAGAAGTTGGATTTGCAACAGAGGTCTCACAGTCCACTTTATAGTGCACAGCAAGCTGGTACTTCTACCATCACTGAAGGCTGACACCACCCAGATGCTGTGGGGGGCTTACAGCCTTTTGGAGGACCTGCTCACTATGCCTATAGTCATCCTATTAAAATGGTTGAGCCATCTCCACATAGTTGCTCGGAGAAGGTGCTGCACCAAATCTTTCAACAAACGTGACTGAGGTTTGTTGGTGCAATATCAGCCTCTGATGTCCCCAGAGGAGAGACCCTGGAGACAAAGGAAAAAAAGCTGGTAGTCCTCGATGTCAGCAATATCTCACCAAGGAGGGCAGTCACAACCCAACAGCAAAATTTACCATGTTATTATAGACACCCTGGCCTGACTGGCTCTGCTCCTCTCCAGCGTCACCAAGGATCCTGAGATGGGCCTCTTGGCTGAGTCTTGTCCTGCTTACTGACAAGCAGGGAAGGCAATGTGTCTAGCAGAGGTATTCAGAGAGGAGGGCAATGACTGTAAGATTATCATAGAATCATCGAATGCTTAAGGTTGGCAGGGATCTCTAGAGATCATCTAGTCCAACCCCCCTGCACACGCAGGGTCACCTAGAGCACGTGGCACAGGACTGCATCCAAGCGGGTTTGGAAGATCTCCAGAGAAGGAGACTCCACAACCTCTCTGGGCAGCCTGTTCCAGTGCTCTGTCACCCTCACTTAAAAAATTTTCCTTAAGTTCATGTGGAACATTCGGTGCTTCAGTTTCCAGCCGTTTCCTCTAGTTCTGTCGGTGGCCACCAGGGAAAAGAGACCAGCACCATCCTCCTCACTCCCTCCCTTGAGGTACTTATAGACACTGCTCAGGTCCCCTCTCAGCCTTCTCTTCTCCAGCTGAACAGGCCCAGCTCCCTCAGCCTCTCCTCATAGGGCAGATGTTCCAGGCCCCTGATCATCCTTGT